AGGATGCCAAGACAACTGAGGGGAAGGCCAGACCAGGAGGACCCTCCTGGTGGCTGGGCCAGCTCTGGGCTCCACGGTGCAGGGTGGCCTCTGGTGGAGGAAACAGCAGATGGAGGCACCACTGTGGACCTTGGGAGACCTACCCAATGTGGAGCTGTTCCCCGAAGCTGGAACCAGGAAAGCTGGGCCCCACGGGAGCATCATTTAGCCCTGCTGAGTCTTGTTCTCCTCATCTGCAGATAGGATCCTGATCCCTGCCTTGTCCAGCATCCAGAGCCCATCACCCTGAACAGCTGGGAAACAAAGAGGCCCTGTCCTAGTTTTGCTTGTTCCGTGGCCCCTGGTCCCCAGCACTGCCCAGCACGGGGCTTACCACAAGAAGGTGAGTGGGAGTGGCTGAGGGTAAGCCTTGGAGGGGTCCAAGCGTCCTGATGAATCTTGCAGGGCCACCTTTGGGGGACGTCCTGTGCTGATAGCCAGAGAGCAGACAGGACTTCCGTGATGAGTCATAGCACCAGGTCTTCATGGAGCAGGGAACAGCTGTGAGCACAAGAACTGAGGTAGAAAGCAGGAGATATGGTCTCCACCAGAAGAAACACTGCCTTCTTGGAGGGAGCGTGGGATGGCGGAGAAACCTGTTCCTGGATACACCTCGTGCCCTGATCCCTGGCACACACTAAGTCCTGATCCTAGTCACATCCTCAGCCCTGATCCAGGTCACATGCTGAGTCCTGATCCTGGCACAGGCTGAGCCCTGACCCTTGGCACACTGACCCTGACCCTGATCACACACTGTCTTAGGCTGAGTTCTCTAGAGAGGCAAAACCAGTGAGGCGTATATATAAAGATTTATTTCAAAGAAATGGCCCACATGGTTGTAGAAGCCAGCAAGTCCCAAATCTGTGGATAAGGTTTCAGGCTGGAGGCTTCTCCTGACTCACGTGGTTGCAGGGCTGATGAACCCAGATCAGACGGTAGGCTGTTGGCTCATCGGGCTGTGGAAACTGGTGAATCTGTAGGTCAGACGACAGGTTCAAGACCCAAGAACTGGAGGTCAGATAATGATGAGCTGGATGCAGGATCCAGAGCAAAGGAGAGCCTTGCCAGAGCATCCATACATATATTGGATACAAGTCACACAGTTCCCAAGGAAACTCCAGTAAGGGTGTGACTTGAGTATGGGTGTGACTTGAGTCACATCTTCTTTAAGGCTGTGACTCAAGATACACTCCACACTAACCCTGCCTCGTTAACATATTAAAAACCCATTGTTGTTGAGTTGATTCCTACTAATAGTGACCCTATAGGACAGAGTATAACTTCCCCATAGGGCTTTCAGGAAGCAGCTGGAGGATTCAAACTGCTGACCTTTCGGTTAGCAGATGAGCTCTTAACCACTGTACCACCAAGGCTC